CGAACTCTTTTACTGTGTACAGATATTTGTGAGACCGTAATACTTCGTGCTTCATCGGAAGCCGCTGCATTGCCCTACCACAGTAAAATGTTGCAGTTTTATATCACAATCTCATCGACTACCTTCAACGACAAAAAATTATGTTTGGTTATTTCGTGGAACCAAACCAAAGTTCAGAACTCTACACCGTAAGACGTGGTAGCGTAGGTACTCAGTAGTAGACTAAAGCCCGCTAAGGGTTAAAAGTGAGGGTGTAAATATCGTTTAACACTTCGTTTTCTACGAATATCCTCAAATGTATTCGTTCCTTAACGATACTTGACAAGCGCCTGGGTTGTTTTATAACAAACATTAATTAAAATAAGTTATCAGGAAGTAAGATAGGATGACATTTATTAGTATAAGATAATGGAAGTGGTTGTAGGAAAACTCTTAGTTGGAGTATCTTTGAGAGATTTCCATTTAATCAGCAGTTCTCCTTAATACATAAACATTAATGGCTCTTACACAAACAGCTACAATAATAAACAAAAACCACGACAGTCCTTAATGTTGGAAATCGAATAATTAACGAGTTCCAAAGAATTTTACTGGAAGTTTTAAGGGTGTTTAATTTAATTACTTCAAACATTAATGATACGCGGTGCAAAATAAATGGGAACGCAACGTTTTGTCGGAGGTAATATCCATGAACACATCTAAAAGTTAATTGTAATTAATTTTATGATGACATAATCAATGTATATGCCGTCGCTTTAAATTCAAATTGTATATAAAGCTCACTTCAGCTCGCACGCCTCTATTGAAACCATAAACCTATTATCACGTTCATTAATTTCATTTTATGGCTTTTAATTATTTGAAACATTGACTGAAACGCATTTTACGTTTAGCAATATATAGGTGTTTAATGTTTATATTGAAAAATTTACATATTTAACATTAGAATCATATTATATTTCCAATCATAACCGTACGTATTTAATATTTCAAATGACGATTTCTTGTACGCATGTTCTTCACACTGTTAAAAAAACCGATTTAAGGACTTTATACTTCCTGACGTTGAGTTACTAGTGAAAACTTTCCTGGATTACGGTCACGGAATAGAACAAATGAAATGCAAAATCCATAAAATAATTTTATAAAATATATTCCGTCAATGCCGCTATTGAGTAACTAAAATTTTATTTTTGCGTGCATTTTTTGCAGGGTTCAACTACAGACATGATATTACGGTATCGAGATATTTCAGTATGTACATGTACTTGTCCTCTTTTCGAATCTAACACTGAATTAATATTGCGAATAAACATACAAAAAAGTAAAAATTATTAGTAATACGGATAGCGGTTGATTGACTACTATTACACAACAAAGAATCATCATGTTCTTTATGGTATTGATTTTTGCGACCGGCCTCCCTGACGACACACTTCTTGGGAAACACCAAGATCCTGAAAAATTATCAATTATTAATATATTGAGTTTTACTACTACGATTTTTACGTTATTAAATAAACTAATATAAGACTAAAAAGTAGGAGAACTTATCAAATAGGAGAACATATGGCAATCCCTTTCATAAAAATATCATGTTACCGAATTCTTTAATATTTAATTGACATTTTAGATCTCTTATTAAATTTCCTTTATTTTTATAAAAACGATATCTTACATGCAAAAAATAATTTTTGGATTTCCCTTCTTTCTCACATTACAAGTATAATGTGACGCGATAATTTTTTCGGGTGACTTTGTAGACCTCAAAGAGCGTGTATTCGTCGAAGATTTACACAGGTACTTTTGGGTTAACCTCTAACTCGGAGTTTGAAATCGGTTTAATGTTCTGAATAGGTAAGTACACATAAGAGAGTAATGTAACGACGGAATACTCGGAACTTGTGCGATTTCAACGCAGGGTATTATTTCAGGGAGCTTTTAAAAGGATTGATTTAATCTTTATTTCATGTAGAATTGACACGAAGGCGGGTAATTAAGGTAGGCAGTGACAGATTGGTTGGCAGTTAGGACCAGTACGCTTACGGATAGATACTTTAAACACAAATCGATTTTTTAAAGATTAATCACATTACAGCTACAAGCCAATGAATATCGGATAAAAAATATCACCAAGTTTAACATTAAGGATGACCAAAAAATCCGCGTTGCACTTGTTTCTGCACTTACATTTTCCGGAGACATATTCTCCGGAACACGAAAACGCAATCTTCTGCGACTCAAGCCCGAATATGGCGGTTTGGCTCTCCTGCGCCTACCGGCCCGTATACATGGTACTGTGCCGGTTAAAAAGCGTGGTGGTTAAGTTTAAGAATATGTTGGTTAAGGTTAAAAAGATGGTACTGTGCCGTTTAAAAATGTGACCAAACGACACACGGCATGAGAACATGTTCCACATTAATTTAAAAACAATTTATAAAACCTATCCACACGAAAGTTCGAGAAATGTGCGACCGAGTGCAGCCACACTATCAATCAAGAAAGTGTCCTACGCCACGACTGCTTAACACGTCCGTAATTAGCCTTTAAAAATAATCAAAACATTGAATCACTTCGTAACGATTTACTATATTAACTGCACTGACGGACCTACCAATTAATAACAAACATTTTCCTGCGGCGTCCGCAGTAAGCTTCATAGTTAGAACGAATATAATACTCGCTGCATTGCATATTATACTCTCGAACATTTTGTATGCATGGAATGTTCACATTTGAAATTATTAATACATTCTAAATTAGCTCCATGTTAACGTTAACAGGCTAAAGCCTAAGGCCTTTCTGGTATACGAGAATGAAGAGGAATGCTTTCTCTAATGCTCTAATTTTATATTTCTTAACCACATTGAAGCTAAATTTGGGCTAAGAGTTTGTTACTCCAGCTCAAACGGGAGCATTTTTCTATAAGGCATCCACCGTCCAATATTGAAAAATTAAAGAATTGGCGTTTCTTATAGTGATGTCAAACATAAAGTAAACTTCTATTCACCATAAAGTAACCATCTATTACTCATCGTAGCTTTATGGTCTTCAGACATATTTGTTATATAGTATCTAATATATAAAAATCTTTTGTCATAGTTTTAGTGTTTATACTCCTCCGAATTGGCTTGACCGATTTTGATGAAATTTTATATGTATATTCAGTAGCCTTGAGAATAGATTTATAACAATGTTTTTTTCTACCCTACAAATAATTTATATGGCAACACAACGTTTGCCGGATCAGCTAGTATATGTAAAAGGATTTAGTTTAGTACCGAATCAGTTGTTATGAGTGTATAAGGATAAACCCGAATCGCAGAATTGTTCCCAATAGTATTGAATATTGTGTTAGGTAAACATTTAGTTTGAAATTTAATAAACAACGACTTACAGTAGTTAATAAAATAACTTACAGTAAACTTACAGTAGTTACATAATTTACTAAACAACAACTTACATAAGTAGTAATAAACAACTTAGTTCTATATATATTCGCACAATTCGCACTTCAATAAGAACGAAGCGTAAATAAATATGTGCGGATAATAGAGTTATCCCCAACAAATTTTAAGTAAAAGTTTCAATTGTTCTATAAATTCAAGTTGAAATAATTGGAAAACTACAATAAACTGAAAAATGTAGGAAAAACTCAGCTTTTATATAATGCTCATCCTTTATTAAAAAATACATTAAATTAAATAACACAACAACTGGAATTAAGATTAAAATGTCATTTTGAGCAACTTTTAATATAATTTTAATGCTTACTAATATTATAAAAGCGAAAGTTTGTATGTACGGATGGATGTTCTTTACTCTTTCGCACAAATACTACTAAATGGATTGTAATGAAACTTAACAATAATATAGCTTATACATCAGATTATAATTCTATAATTTAATGTATATTTTATGTCTATCTGTCTTTCTGTCTAAATGTTACGCCTTCAGCCTATTCTACGCCGACGTAGTCGTGGGCAGCAGCTACTACTTCATATTTTCTCCAAGTATCTTGGCGATAATTGGTATTTTTACAGGGCAAGTTTTGTATGACTCTACGTTTTGTACATTTGTTAAAGCGTATTTAAATTACTGGAATAATTATCTATAGATATCTGCCACACTATCAATCTAATATTAGTAGTAATTTCTATATATTCAAAGACACGGATAGCCGTGTCTTTGAATATATAGAAATTACTAATTATACATAAGGATCCAAATCGATGGATTATGATTATAAGATATAAAACGCAAACAAGATTAGCCACTGATTCGATTTTGAAATAAAGCCTCTATCCAAAGTAATAGTTTTAACCATGGTATAAAGGCGTTAACAAGGTTTTCGAGGCTATTTTACGGCGTTAACTTGCTTAGCGCCAGACCGCCGCACTTGCTTGCTTTGTCCATTTCTCATCAACTAGTTAGTTGAAGGGTAACTATGAAACGAAAAAACCTTTTCCACAAATTATTCGACAGCGTTTCTCAAATATGCTTATGCAGCGAAATTTCAAATGAAATAAGGATATATAAGACCAACATTAAAATATGAAAAATCTTTTACTAATATTATCAACTACGCATATTTACCACACTTTATTTGATAAAGAACTAAAGAGAGATTTTTAATAGCGTAAAAGAGAACATTGCAGGGAAAAAGCCGGAGAGAGTTTCTAAGATTCCTTTCGAAATCATTTGCATACAAATTGAAATGCGGTACAGTGGCGAACAAAATAATGTATGTAATAAATGAAATATATCAAAGCCGAATATGTGAACGAAAATCGTAAAAAGATTCAACAATAGTAGTCAGAGTTCAAAAAAAGAAAACTGTTTATTGTTCTTAAAATATGTAGAAATTGTTTGTTTATTGTTCTTTCAATATTTTGAAAACTTAATGCGCCATGTCATAGTTGATCGTCCGTTCCAATGTCACCAATGCTAAGAGTATTTTTAGTATATTAGTTTTGTAAAAGAAGTTATAACAATATCTAGACATAACATACCTCGTTTTGACCTGCTGCTCCTCGCTCAGCCTTCTTTATATTTAACGGTTTATTTTGTGCTATTTCTTTATCACACGTGCTTTTTTCTAGTAATTCGTTACAATGCTTCTTAGTATGTTTTATAACATCCGGTTGTACCGAGTTTATGCTTATTGTGACATTTTTATTTGTATAGCTTTCGTCTACAGTTTGGTCCGCACGTTCCTTTTCATCTGAACTTTTGATCTTAAAACACGAAATTGATTTTTTATCTTTCTTAGCTTCCTCTCTATTTTGGACGTCGCATTCATTCTGTTCGTTCACATCTTTTTTATCTTTCGCCAGCTTCAGCCGCTTCTTCTTACCATTCCATTTAGACGTTGCCGATTTCGACCGATTACTATCATCACTGCTGCTCACGCCGTCTAAGCAAACGGGGTTCACTAAGATTTTCGTTGACTTCGTTTTGCGCTCAATCTTCCTCAGACTGAGAAGGCTCCCCGAGGAGTCCATGAATGCGGGCATGGAATTGGGTGAAATTAAATTGTCCTTGGCGTCTGTATTGAAGGCTTGATTGGAATGGGTTAGGAGGTGAATATTCTTCATGACGTCTGCTCTGTTGTGACGCATTTTTCCGTTCGTACCGAGTGGACCCATTGTAACTGGTGATCCTCCGTTAAACAGTAACGCCGTCTCCATAGGCTGGCACACACAAGCTAACATTTTCAACCAGTCATAGGGGAAAACTTAACACCATTATCACTTAAGCGTATTGGTGTTATCGATTCATTTTTCCTTTATTTTGACATACGAAGTATTACATGGCTGGGAAGCCTTAATATTATTTAAGTGAGGAATAAGAAGCGACGTATATAACGCGTACGCCTTGAGTTGTTACAACAATATTACTCTCTCTGTTACGAGGACTTATGTTACATTATTCCAACTGAAAGAATTGTATTATCTAGTTCATTTCCTGGATAATATAGTATGTAAAATGTACGTCGCAACCCAAATAACTTGGGAGATTTGAATATGTTTAAAATTTTAAACTTATAAGCTCTTTTGTAACAAGATTATTACGTCGCACTCATTAATGAAATTATCAATGATTAAAGTTCGTTTTGCTATCATGAATCGTAATATCGTCATAATCGTTTGAAGCAGGTTTGAATCGCGGCAGCGGTGTCTTAAGAATCTTCAAAATAAAGTTAGTAGTAGTTAGTAGGTAGTCATTGAAAATTCAAAAAAAGTTATAAATTCGAAAAGTTTTAGATCACTGTTCTTCTCGAATTACCGTTAACTCTTAGGTCGTATACAAAATTCAGTTTCGCAATAAAAGTTCTGACATTACCAATAAGTCAATGTTTTTATGTTCACCTCAGCGGTCGAACGGAAAATTAAGAAAAATCAAGCGCACAATGATCGATCAAATTGTTCGTCATAACCCCTCAGTATAGTTTCCCTGTGATATCGATATAAAATATTTTATACTCGTACTGTACATATTTAAACAAGTCATTTTTTTACTAATGAAAAACAAAACCGGTTTCCAATATCTCGTTCTGTATTCATTTTATAGTTGATTTTCAAGAGTTTCCTAAGTATCTCCGGATCTCCGGATAGCGTTTTATTTGGATCAATGAACAAAAATAAAACCGGCAAATTTTGAAACTGACCATTTTGTTACGCACTGTTTCTACACACTGCAAAATTATTTAATTAGTGTAAGTAGCACAGTAGAGACGCGTATCGGACTGCATTCTACGACCTTTAAATATCATAAAAAGAAACTGTTGCATAATGCGTATCAAAAGTAGGATAAACAAAAGAAAACATTTACTAGAGTAAGCGAAACTATAAAAGAATAAATCTGAAAATCTCAAAGTCGAGCATACTAAAAAAAGTAACCGACAACACATTTTTAATATGTTTCAAATTTTATATATATTTTATTATATTTTAGCCGCTAGTAAAGGTTTACAGTTTAGTGTATTTTATGCCATTTCGCATATTGAAATGGTCGTCAAACATCAGCCGGAGTACAGTTGAGACAGATCTTTAATTTCATTTCCCGTGCTGCATCGTTAGTTAACGAGATAACGACCATCGGCGGAGCAGCGAATCGCATATGCGAATGACGGGCAAATGTCTTTATGATATATGAGGATGATGCACGAGAACTTCCCCGCCGATCTGCGCCCAATTAGAGCTAGATTTAACTATCGAGCCCGCATTGAGTAGTCACTTGATATTCAACCGAACCCACCTTGTAATCGCTATTAACGGCACGACTAAAACCGCCTCTGCGTTATGTTTTTGATCGGAAATATTCATGAGTATTTGCTACCCATTAGAACTTTCTTCTGTATTTATCATCTTTTAATTGAACTATGTTAACGTCCTTCTGTTATTAAAATTTATCTTTAACCTTAATTTATAAGTTGAAACAGGCATTGCACAACGCATAACATTTTTAAGAGCAACCTAATTTTATTCCTTTTCTTCAATATTTTTTTTTAGTGAAGCTTGCTGCACGTACAGTTTTGAACTAGCTTATTTTTTTGATGTATTGCTTTTTGCTATATAATTTATCAATCATAATAAATACTGTTATTTTTCATTTAAATTATCATTCACTTGTTTGGACTAACTATTTACTTTTATTTGGCAAGCAAACAATTACTATTAGAAAAATAATATATTTAAATGTTATATGTAAATATACTATTGAAAATATTTGTATGTAAAAATAGCCGTTTGCTTTTTTAAATACGTGTAAATATATATTTTAACTCCAATTTTAACTCCACATTAATTAAAAACGAAATGCGAAAACGAAACGAAAAAAATGAATAACATCTGATTTCTAAATAACATAAATCGTTTACTATAAACACGAACTATAGTTAAACATAAGCGTGATCATATTTAAGGAAAAATTTGCACATTTCTTTAAAAAATAAAAGACATCATAACAAAATTAAATAAAACTTTGATTAATTTCATAAGAACATGAAAGTTGCACATCAACTTGATCGAAATTTGGTACAATACCTACTGAAACGTATTCAATCAAGTTTAAGTTGATTCATTTCATTATTAACTAGATGTTAATTGAAATAATTAAGAGCCAATTACAGTTCGAGCTTTGAACACCGAAACCAGTTCAAGTATTCTATTTCTCTTATATTTTGAGAAAATGACGTAAGTACTCGATATTAATGTTAAATTTTCCAAGTATTATATAAATAAAGTAGTATGATATTTAAAGCGCGCATATAGTAAAATCTTAGATACGTAAGATTAATGTATTTGCATCATAAAATAATTTTTCGAATCTTATGCATAAAATTACTTTAATGAGGTCAGAGCTTAGTCGAATTCACGAAAATATAATTTACAAAAAGAAATATTAATAAGACATAAATTGAGTATTTTATTAATAATAATAATAATAATAAAATATCTTTATTCACATAGACGCTTGCGCGTTCTTATGAAACGTCAAAATTTTACAAGAAATTAACACGTTCGTAAGTTACCACCGGTTCGGAAAGCAGTTTCTGTTGAGAAGAAACCGGCAAGAAACTCAACAGTTGCTCTTTTTTAAAAAATCAGTTTACAATATAATAGTACAGGTACAATAATCTTGTTTTAGCCTACGTGAGTATCAACAATATTAACCCCACACATTGGCGTCGTCAAGATATTCGGCAATAGTATAATAGGCTTTAGCCATAAGTTTACTTTTAATTTTTCGTTTAAATTCATCAAGTGGCAGACTTAATATCGACTGTGGGATTTTATTATACATGCGCACACTTTGCCCCATGAACGACCTGTTTACTTTTTGTAGGCGAAATAATGGCGTAGTTAGTTTGTCCTTATTTCTAGTATTTAGTTTATGTCTGTCACTATTCTTTTGATAATTATTAATATTCTGTTTAACATACAAAATATTACAATAAATATATTGAGACGCAACAGTGAGTATATTAATCTCTTTAAAAAGATCTCTGAGTGTATTCCGGGCTCCGATGTTATAAATTGCTCGGACAGCCCTTTTTTGAATAATAAATATTGAATTTATATCAGATGCACTACCCCACAACAAAATGCCGTACGACAAGATGCTGTGAAAATAACTGTAGTAAACAAGTCTGGCAGTGTCGATGTCTGATAGCTGCCTAACCCTCCTAATTGCAAAAACAGCGGAGCTTAACCTATTCGCAAGAGATGATAGATGGGGACTCCATTGGAGCTTTGAATCTACTGTGATTCCCAAGAATACAGCGGACTCAACAGGATTAAGGGTTACGCTATTCAATTTTAAGCTAAAACTTCGCCTTCTTACGTTGGGAAGGGCAAAACGAAGGCATTTGGTTTTTTTAGCATTTAACACCATATTATTAATGGTAAACCAGTGGAGGATACGCGAAAGTGCACTATTCACGTCGTCATAATTCGATACATTTCGGTCAACCTTAAAAATAAGCGATGTGTCATCAGCAAACAGTACAACATCACATAATTCACTGGCATAAAAGGGGAGATCATTTATATATACTAAGAATAATAATGGGCCCAAGATTGATCCTTGTGGGACACCCATTTTCATGGGGGACCCTGCGGAATTTACATCATTTATAGATACTTTTTGAATTCTATTACTAAGGTAAGAGGCAATGAGATTGAGGGCGATGTCACAAATGCCATAATAATCAAGCTTTAGAAGGAGGGTTTTGTGATCCACCAGTCGAAAGCTTTTGAAAGGTCACAAAAAACACCTATTGCATCTTGTGACCCTTCCCAGGCGTTATAAATATGTTTGACAAGTGCGATACCCGCATCTGTTGTCGATCTGCCTTTAGTGAATCCATATTGCTCATTGTGAAAAATTTTGTTCATATTAAAATGTACTAAGAGCTGATTTAAAATTAGTTTTTCAAAAATTTTACTCAGAGATGGCATTATGGAGATAGGTCTGTAGTTTCCTGAATCATTTTTATCCCCACTTTTGAAGACGGGGATTATCTTACTAAATTTCATAAGATCTGGAAATATTCCAGAATCTATGCAGTTGTTAAAAATATTAGCTAAATGTGGTGCAATATATGGCATTATTGTGCTCATTAATTTTATGGACATGCCCCATAAATCCCCTGTATTCTTAAGATTAATAGAATTCAAAACTTTTATAATATCATAAGTATCTACATGATTAAATTTAAATGAGTGTGGACAAAAGGTAACATTATTTCTTAAAACGTTAATTGCATCTATGGGAGATGATTTTAATGTACATGTGACATTAACTGCAATTTCTGAAAAATAGCTTTCAAAACTACTTGCAATTTCATTATCCGTTGTTATGGGAGTATTACCTATAACCAGTTTTATAGGTTCCCTGAATATCTTGGGTCTTCCAGATATACGGGTAATGATGTCCCATGTGGCTTTAATTTTATTGTTTGAATTTATTATTCTATTTCTTATATAAATAGATTTTGCCTGAATACAGACTTTTTTAAATATTTTGGAGAACATTTGTACCCTTTTATGAAAGTTGGGGTCATGATTCCACTGCCTCATATTATATAATTCATACAGTGAATCCCTACTTTTATATATACCCACTGTTGCCCAGTCACTAAATTTTAATTTTGAATTTTTAACAATTGTGCGCGATTTAAATGTATCATTATAAGAAGATATAAGAA